GGCCCAGCATCCTCACATGCACTGTGCGAGCGTCTCGAACTGTCGTTGGTATTTCCTGCACCTCGCTGAAGATGACCGTAGATAACGGTGCCGTGATCCTCCTCAGAGCGGGCCTCATGCGCTGCTGTGAGATCGATGGCAGCGGCGTGGTGGTCGCGGGCACACGGTCGAGGCTGCTCTGACCCTTCTCGCCCTGGTTGGCAATCTGCCATCTCCTACATCTGGTGCAATCGGACTCGATTGGACAGGACACGCGAGAGGACACAAGACCCTTCCGAGGGCCACATTGCCACAGGAATGTAGGAAGCATGGGTCGCCAGACACAGGACACAAGGGTACCCTTGATTTGGCAGGGTCGACCTACTAATCTGGGCCGACTGTGGCATGTTCCTGCTGCCTGCCGCCGTCGAGCTGTCCCTCCTCCCCAGAGCTCTCACCGTCTCGCCCACCAGGTCAAGTCTCCACTCAGGGAGGGACAAACGAATGTGCAGCCTGGTCATCAGAATGAACACCTGCATCCGATGACAAAGTTTGAAGGGCTGCTGCCGCCACAATCCCGCGGCAATCGAGGCCCGCCTCCCCCCGACGAAAGGTCAGACCGTGAAGCCCGTCTTGGTCGCCTCGATTCCATCTTGGAATAGGAATGGCGACTGCTCCTGCTCCTCCTGCTCCTCCTCCTCCTCCTTCTCCTGCTCCTGCTTCCGTTCCTCCTCCTCATCCCCCATCCTCCTTATCCGCCACAGTGCCCTGAGACACAACTTGGAATGTCCTTTAGCCACTCGAGATCTCCGTTTTCCAATCATGAAGTTTCTTGAGAAACCACGCAGTCCGGGGTCATGGGCGCTTCCGGGTTCATCTGGGCCTCGTCGCATGACTTTTTCGGAGGCAAGAGGGCCCCAAGCAGGGCCTTGAGGGCCCCAAGAGGCCCCTGGGACGGTCCCCAAGCGACCCGAGTCGCCCGCAGATCGCCCAAGACCAAGAACATTACCTCCAGACGGCCAAAGGAAGCCCCAAGGCGCCCGAAGAGCGCTGCAATAGGCCACCCAAGAGGGCCCCGAGAGGCCAGAACCATGAGTCTCCTTAGGTTCTTGTATAATGCTTGAAGGATTTGGGCGTTCTCGCTCTTTCGAGCGTTTGACCGCCCACGACGGCCAACGAGGCTTCCAAGATTGCCCCAAGGCGGCCCAAGAGGCTCCCAAGAGAACTCCCAGACGGCCCGAGAGGACGGGCCAAGAGGGCGCCAAGAGGGCCCCAAGAGGGGGAATGCGGATCCATAATTCGATCTCTCCGCGCCAAGACGATCCACGAGACCGCAAGCAGGCCCCCAAGGGGCCCCTCAAAGCTCCAGGAGGTCACCAAGAGGAACAATTCAGGCCCCAGAAAGCCTCCAAGAGGCCCCCAAGAGAACCCAAGACACCCCCAAAACCTCCTGAACGAGGCTTCCGAGAGGCCTCCCAAAAAGTCCCCCTTGGCCATAGGCATCCAAGAGACCTCTGACCTGAAACCTAGGCGCGGTGGCAGAATGGACCGAAGGCCACGAGACTACTCCTACTCCCTCCATGCTGATCCTTCCGTTTCCCTGCTAGTTACTCTATCCCTCCCTCCATCCCAACCTTCTCCCTCCATCATTTCCCTCCCTCCCTGTCCGTCTTATCGCCAGGCCCTTTGCGAACCATGCGGCCTCACTGTTGTAGTCATCGTCTTTGCCAACGTCGCGATGAGTCGGTGTCGTCGCCGCGATCGCCACTGTCGACAGCATCTTTGTCGTCGCCGCCGTCGTAGTCGTCCCCGTCATGCCCCACCGCCTCGCAGACGCCCTTTCCGTTTGTCGCGCTCATCGTTGTCTTCGGCGTCAGCGTCGTCGTTGCCGCCATCGTCGTGAACGTTACCGTTGCCGTCGTCGCCGTGGTCGTCGTCGTGGCCATCGTCGTCGTTTTCACGTCGGCGTCGTAGTCGCCGACGCCGCCTCCGTCGGCATCGGCGTCGTCGCCGCCGTCGGCGCCGCCGCTGGCGTCGATGTCAACGCCCTCCGCGCTCGGGGGCCGGCAGCGGCCCAGTCGGTGGGGGCGTATGCTCCTCGAGGGACCGGCAGCGCACCACGCGCGGCAGGAGGGCCAGGTACTGGCGCCGCCGGTCGGGAGGCGTCGTCGCCGCCGCCGCGCCACCGATCGGGTCGTCGTCGTGTCGTCGTCGCCGTCGTCGTCGTCGTCGCCGCCGTCGTCGGTCGTCGTCGTACTAGTCGTGCTCGTCGACCCCATTTGCTCCTGCTGCTGCCGTCGGGGTCGGGGTCGGCGCCGTCGCTGGTGTCGCCGTCGTTGTCGCCGCGGTCGCCATTCCCATTGTTATCGTCGTGGCCGTCGTGATTCGCCGTGGTCGGCGTCTTCGCTGGTGCTGCCGCAACCGTCGCCGTCGTTGCAGCCGCCGCCGTGATCGTCGTCGACATCGTTCTGGCGGTATGGTGATCACGTGAGGAGAGGGGAGGTAGGGTTAGGTCGGGCATGTCCCCCTGCAGGCGGATTTTGCAGAAATATTTTTGAATACCCATACAATACTCAAAAATAGTCCAACATACTCAAAACATCGTCCCCAGATTTTTTGTTTTAATGAATATCCCTCCTGTAGAGGGACACGCTCGACTTAAAGGTAGGGATAAACAGGGAGGGGGAAGGCAAAGGGATCAGCTCGGGAGGAGGAGGATAAGCAGGCCATGTCCCCCCCTCCGCATCCTCTTCATCATCGCCGCCGCAGATGACGGGGTGGGGGGGGTCGTCGCGGCAGTCTGCGGGGCTCGAAGGCAGATCAGCAGCAACCCACCGAGAGCGGTTTCCCGTGCGTCTTTTCTCGGATGCCCCGCGCGGAAAGCACCCGTGCGACCGCGTGGCGTGCGACCGCGTATCCGCGGGATGCCGCCCTGGAGTCCCAGCCGCGAGGGCGTGGATGTGGATACGTTCGCCGCTCGTGAGCTTCGTGAATCCCCACGCAGCCCAGCGAGCCCACCGCAAAATCGCCAACTTTTTCTCGCGGGTTGGTCGGAGGCGGGTCGCGGGGCGGGCCGAAGGCTCGGGTCGCAGGGCGGGTCGTGGAGCGGGTCGGGGGCGGGTCGCGGGTCGCGGGGCGGCAGCGAGGACGGGAATCCGCACCGCGGGAACGCACTTCATTCACGCTTTCACGGGACGGGCGGCATGTGCAGTCGCCGGCGCCTGGCGAAGAGCCCCGCAGTCAGGGACCTTGGGGAGCTGCGCGATGCGGCGCGCAGCCAGCCCTGCGAAATCCGCTAGGCGGCCGCAGGCGCAACGCAGGCCCTCCAAGAGCAGCACCCAAGAACGCACCCAGGGACGGTGTAAGACCGCTCGACCGCCTCACTCTGACCATTATCATCTTCGCCCACCTTCCATCAGCTCTCCTCGTCCGATTCTGCTATCCCTTTCCCTCTCCGACTTGCCTTGCTGCCTTGCTCCCGTCCGAAGAAGAGGAGGATTGGTAAGGAGGGCCGAAGAGAAGAGCGAGGAGGGAGGAGGAAAGGGAATGAGAAGGGACACGAGGACAATGGGCACGCAGCAGAACTGTGATCATGAGGAGGCTTGAGCAAGAGTGATAGAAAGAGAGAGAGGAGAGAGAGAGAGAGAGAGAGAGAGAGAGAGAAACACGAGGGTGACTAGGAGGAAAGCAGGGCGGCAGAAAGAGGAGGCGGGCTCAGAAATGGGGGAAAGATAAGTCGAGCGGGGAAACAATGGAAAGAGTGGGCGGGTGAACGGCAAATACAGAAGGAGAGGACGGAGGAGGGAGACTCAAGGGGAAGAGGCAACAGAAGAAATACAGAGGGCAATTGTGATGTGTTGTGTTCCTCGCTCTCTCTCTATCTCTCTCTCTCTCGCTCGCCCTCTCTCTCGATCTATCTATCTATCTATCTATATATATATATATATACACTTCCCTCCAAACGCAACGACGGTGCCGTCTCGCGAGAAGACCGGGGAGACTGGGAGCGGTGACGGGGGAGAAGAAGCAGAAGGAGTGAGCGGAACCGTGAGAGGAGCGGAATGGGCGGGGGGGGCAGTGAGCCACGATGACCGACCTTGGCCCATGACCCCCACCGCCAAGATGGCCCAGACCACCACGACGGGAAGACATCCCACGCACTGCCCAACGACCCTCCAAACAGCGCGGCCCCAGGCCACACGCACATTCACACATTCACGCACAAACATACGCGGACAACCCCAAGGGCCCAACACCAAACCAGGCAACAACACCAACCCCACAAAGCACCAGGCCGCCGACGAGGGCCCGCGAGGCCAAGAGAAGGCCACTCCCAAGCCCGCCTCAAGAACTCCCGAAGAAGTAGGGCAACCGACACGCGTCGCTTCAATGACGCCACGCTGCGGAATCAACGTGCAGCGTCTCCGGACGCGGCGGTGGAACTGGGTGAGCGACGGCGCACCTTGGCCACTCGGTGTCTAGCCGATCGTTGTGAACCAATCGACGTGAACTGCAAGACATGACGACACATGGTTCAAGACGTGTGTCGCCCAGAACATGTGCTGCATGTGTTGCCATGCCTCCGAATCTGAAGGAACCTCAGTTTGATTTTGGGAATGAAGAGGGGGAGGATGCTGAATTGGAGAACGAGGCAATGGATGTGCAGGATAGTGAGGAGGGCCAGGTGGACGACAAGAAGGGAAGGGGCAAGATGAGATGCACCAGAAGTAGGATGGCGAGGAGGCCTCCTCCTCATCCGCCTACCTCCAGGTCATTCGCCCTTACTTCCACCCCTTCCTGCTCCATTTGCTCGTCCTGCTGCTGCTGCTCCTCCTCCTCCTGACCCATTCCTCCCCCCGAGGGAGAGGCGCCGACGACGGCGAGGACGAGGACGACAACGACGACGAAAATGACGCCGACGGCCAGGACGCCGACGTGGAGGACTAGGACGCCGATGGGTTTAGAGGTCGCAACGGGGTACGGTGCACATGGGCATTGTAAGATCACGCGGCATTGCGACGACACTCTTGGGTATTGTCCATCAACGGTACGGTCCGACCTGTGTACCTGGTATCGCGCTGACGCCCGCGACATTCCGCATGAACTTCTGCTTTTGACGATACAGAACCCGTGCATCGT